TGCTGTTTTGGTTTGGTTTTCCCTCTCGCTGCCCCATCTGTGTCCCCGGCGCGTCCCTCCCTTGGCCGTGGCTGCCGGGGCTTGGCGCGGGCCGGCCGAGAGCCGTGTCCGGGCGGGGGTCCAGGGCTGCTGTCAGCGGGGCGGTGCTGGGGTGGGACAGTCCGGGAGGAGCAGGAGCTGGAGCTGGTGCCTCCTTCCTTCCTTCCCGGCCTGGAGAGGCGCGTGGAGCCGGGATGTCTTGGCTGCACACCCTCCTCCTCCTCGCCCTGCGGAGCGGAGGCCGGCTGCCGTCGGGGCGTGAGCGGCAGTGCTGGAAACTTGGCGGGCACGGTCCTGGCTGCTCCGAGAGCGGCAGGCAGGATGGGACCAGGATGGGCTGCAGCCTGACCTCCCGCCCAGCGCCATTGTCCTGTGGCGCCTTCCCTTTCCTACACCCGCGCCGGCAGCGGGATGAGCTGCCAGCCCCGTCCTTCACTCGGGACGTCCCTGACCCGGACAGGGTGGGAGCCCCCAGGACCCTCCAAGCCTTGGTGTGTGGGGGTCACGTCGCCCTGTGGGATCAACCCTGGGGCCCAGGGCTGTGGTGTTGGGGTGCAGGACCCTCCCCAGCCCTGACTGTGCCCCACTCCCCACAGTGAAGTTCATGCGGGAGGTGACCCCCTACATCAAGAAGCCGTCGCTGGTGTCAGACCTGCCGTGGGAGGGGGCGGCCCCGCAGTCCCCCAGCCTGAGTGGCAGCGAGGACTCGGGGTCCCCCCAGCACCAGGGCCCCCGTGACCGCAAGGTGATCCCCCTCAAGATGTGCTTCGCCGCCCGGAACCTCAGCATGCCCGACCTGGAGAACAGGTGAGGGCAGGGACTGCTGGTGGGGAGATTCTGCTCCCTAAAGACCCCCAGGACAGGACTGGGTCTGCCCACCAGTGCCAGTGTGAGGGACCCTGCACCCTGTGGACACGCTGGGCACAGCTGGGGGCTGCCCCTCGCTGAGGCCATGACCCCCTGCTTCCCCCACGGAGCTGTGGAAGGACACTGCAGAGAGTTTGGCCGGGGCCAGGGCTGTGCCATATTCCCTCCCAGACCCCTGGCAGCCCCTCTGCCTTAAAATGAGGGCTGAAAGCCCTGGCAGGTGGAAATGCACAGCAGAAGCCCCCAGCCAGTGCAGCCAGTTTGCTGTGCTGGGCCCAGGCAGGGGCTGACTGAGCGCTGATGTCCCACCCTGGGCCGTGTCCCCGTCCCCCCGCAGGCTGATCGAGCTGCACTCGCCGGACAGCCGGAACACGCTGGTGCTGCGGTGCCGGGACACGGCCACGGCCCACGCCTGGTTCAGTGCCCTGCACGCCAACATCACCGCGCTGCTGCCCCAGGTCCTGGCCGAGCTCAACGCCACGCTGGGCTCGGGCAGCCCCGCGGCCGGCGGCCGGGAGGTGAAGCACATCGCCTGGCTGGCAGAGCAGGTACGCACTGATGGGGTGTGCCGGGGTGCTCCCAGGGACAGCAGTGCCACGGGAGTGTGACAAGGATGCCACTGGGATGCAGCCAGAGAGCACAGCCTGGGCTCTGGCTCTGCTGCTCTTCCATTCAGCTGTGCCCTGGTGATGGCAGCGTTTCCTGTACCCTCAGCCCCTTCTCCCACTGGGATTTTCCAGGTGGAACCCCTCATCACACCCTCCCTATTCCATGAATTCACTGCCTGAGAGCTGCAGCCAGCCCTGGCAGTGTGGTGGGCAGGACCCCTGGGGGCTGCTCCCAGCTTGGTTCCCCAGGATGGCAGGGCTGGGGACGCTGCCTGGCAGTGAGGAGCCACTGGCTTGGAGTCCATCTGACCGCGGGCTCAGGGGTTGGGTGCCCGGGCTGTGGCAGGCCCTGGCACCCCTCACGGTGCCCTGGTGCCCGGCAGGCACGCCTGGACGGTGGGCGGCAGCAGTGGCGGCCGGTGCTCATGGCAGTGACAGAGAAGGACCTGCTGCTGTATGATGGGATGCCCTGGACCAGGGACGCCTGGGCCTCGCCCTGCCACAGCTACCCGCTGGTGGCCACCAGGTGAGCCGGGGCTGGGCCCCCTCGGGCCGTGCCTGCGCCTCAGAGCAGGGACGAAGCGCCAGGACGCCGCCGGGGTGACGCGGTGCCATGGCACGCTGAGCCCCGGCCATCCGCTCCCCCTCCAGGCTGGTGCACTCCGGCTCCGGGCGCCGCTCGCCCGCGCTGGGCTCGGAGCTGACGTTCGCCACGCGGACGGGCTCCCGCCAGGGCGTGGAGATGCACGTGTTCCGCGTGGAGACCCACCGGGACCTGTCGGCGTGGACGCGCGTCCTGGTGCAGGGCTGCCACGCCGCCGCCGAGCTGGTCAAGGAGGTGACCGTGGGTGAGTGCCGCGGGGCTGGGCCGCCCCGTGCCCCCGCCGGGCCTGCGGGGCTGACAGAGCTGTGCCCGCAGGCTGCACGCTGGGCGGGCAGGAGGTGCAGCTCTCCATCCACTACGAGGGCGGGTTCACCATCTCCCGGGACGAGCCGGGCTCCAGCGTGCTCTTCCGCTACCCCTACGAGCGGCTGAAGATGTCCGCGGACGACGGCATCAGGACCCTCTACCTGGATTTCGGGGGCCCTGAGGGGGAGCTGGTGAGGAGGGGCCAGCCGGGCTCACCCCCTGGTTTGGGGGGTCTTCCTCCAGGCGACCCCCTGCTTCCTCCTGCTTTCCCCCATCCCTCGCTGGGCTTGGCTGACGGGAGCCCCCAGCCCCGCAATCCCCAGCGGGATGTGGGGGCGGCTGACAGCGCTCTCCGTCTCCCCCCAGGCGCTGGACCTGCACTCCTGCCCCAAGCCCATCGTCTTCGTCCTGCACACCTTCCTCTCGGCCAAAGTCACCCGCATGGGGCTGCTGGCATAGGTGCCCCAGCCCCCTCGCCCTGTCACCAACCAGCTGGGGGGTCACAGAGGGCCCCCCGACCTCTCCTGCCCCATCGGTGCCTTGCTGGGACTGGGATCGCTGCCCTGATCCCGCCGGGAACGCGGCAGGACGGCTGCGGGGGGTGAGCCCCTCCTGCCCCACGCCAGCGCTGCCGGCCCCCAGTGCCCGGGGCTCGGGGTACACACACCAGCTTTAATCCCCCGGGGCTGAAGCCATCGCTGATCTCACCGCCTGTGCCTTGGAGCGGGGCCAGCCCGGCCCCCCCTCCTGGGGGACCCCCGGTGCCCCCAACTCACCTCCAGGGGAACCGGTGTCCCCCTGCCTTGGGGCTTCCCCCAAAGAGGTCACTTTGTCCCCACATGGGACAGGGCCGTGGGACCCCCCCATTGCTGCATGACAGGGTCTCCACGCCCTGCTCAGGGTGGGGGGACACATTTGTCTTACAGGGGGCACTCAGGGGTGCACAGGGGGTGCTCTTGGCCCAGGGTCCTGCTCCCTGGGGCTTGGCCTGCCCCCCATGCCCCTCTGCCCTCAGCAGTGACCCCCCAGATCTCCCAAAGGCTGAACAAACGCCGTGTCTCTGCCCTGGGCCGGGGCTGCAGGGACCCTCCCCCTCCGGGGCTGTCCCTCCCCTGCCCCTGCCCCTCCAGCGGGGCCAGGACACGTAGATCGATGCACTTTTCGCTTTTTGTACTTTCCCTCCCTTGGGGCAGCTCCCACACCCTGGGGCTGGGGGGCCCAGGTAGGGCCACAGTGGGATGCAGGGCCCCCCCGTCCTGCCAGGACCCCAGACCCCCCAGCCAAACCCCTGCACGGTTCTCTGCTTCTGGGGAGGTGTGGGGTCCTGTGGGTGCTGGCTCGGGGTGCTGCCCCCCCTTCCTTCTATTTTTGTATTCTTTGTAAATCGCTATTTATATCAGATTGCCTTTTCCAGGGGCTCCGGGTCTCATTTGAGTCTGGTGTGGGGATGGGGGGAGGAATGAGGGTCCCTGGAAGGAGTGGGGGGATCCCTGGGGAGCTGGGGTGGGGTCTCTGGGGATGGTGGAGGGGATGGGGGTCCCTGGAAGGAGTGGGGGGATCCCTGGGGAGCTGGGGTGGGGTCTCTGTGGCCATTCCTGAGGGGGCTGGGGCAACTTTTACAGCAGGGGGACAGGTGCTGCAGGTGTGTGGCGGTGTGTGTGCTCAGGGAAATAGCGGACACGTGTGCACAGCGTGTGTGCAAATACCGTGCACATGGGGGTGTGCACCTGGGCACGCACACACAGACACACGTGAACATGCACAGACACAAAACATACCCACAGACACACGTGAAGGTGTAAATGCACACACACAGACACACGTGAACGTGTAAATACACACACACAGACACACATGAATGTGTAAATACACAGACACATGTGAACGTGTAAATGCACACACAGACACACGTGAACGTGTAAATACACACACAGACACAAACACAGACACAAAACATACCCACAGACACACGTGAAGGTGTAAATACACACACAGACACATGTGAACATGTAAATACACACAGACACAAAACATACCCACAGACACACGTGAAGGTGTAAATGCACACACACAGACACACATGAACGTGTAAATACACACACAGACACAAACACAGACACACAAACATCCCCATAGACACATATGGACATGTAAATACTCACACAGACACACAAACACATGCACAAACGCACACACAGACACGTGTGAAGACTCATGAACACGAGTCATGAACAAGACTCATGAACACGTGAACATGTAAACACTCAGACACTGTACACACAAACACACGAAGAGTCATGAACACAAACCCACGTAAACACATGTAAACACACACACACACACACACACACACACAATTTGCATTCACGTGTTTTTGGGGAATTCGCGCGCACTTCGCTCCCCCGGGGCGGGGCTATGCAAAACCACGCCCACAAATTCACGCAGTCTCATTACGGGCGTGCCCACTAGAGACCACGCCCACACGGAGACATAAACGGATGATGGGCGAGTCTTCACCAAGCCACGCCCATCGGTGGGCGGGGCTCGCCGCGGGCTGGGCGCTCCTCGGCGCGGGTGCGGCGTCGGCCCGCCGCCGCCGCCGCCGCCGCCGTCCCGGGGCCGCCGGAGCGGCCGCACCGGGCGATGCGATGACAACGTCCACCCTGCAGGTACCGACCTCGGGCACCGGCACGGAGATGGGGCTCCGGCCGCTCCGACACCGCGCCGCCTTCCCGCGGGCTTCCGCTCGGCCCTGCGGACAGGCCTCACCGGGCCCCGGCGCCGTGCCGGCCGGGGAGAGGCCTCACCCGGCCCCGGTGCGCGGCCGCGCTGAGGTCGCCCGGCCCTGCCGAGCCCCGGTGCTGGTCGGGAGGGAGGTGGGCGCGGCGGAAGGGCCGCGGTGCGGGCCGGGCCCGGCCCCTGTCGGCGGGGAGGGGCTCCGGCGGGCCCGGTGCTCACGGAGCTCCCCCCGCAGAAAGCCATCGACCTGGTCACCAAAGCCACCGAGGAGGACAGGGCCAAGAACTACGAGGAGGCGCTGCGGCTGTACCAGCACGCCGTGGAGTACTTCCTGCACGCCATCAAATGTGAGAGCGGCCGGGGGGCGCGGGGGCTCCGGCGCTCGGGGGCTCCGGGTGACGCTGCGGCTCCCTGCAGATGAGGCTCACAGCGACAAGGCCAAGGAGAGCATCCGAGCCAAGTGCGTGCAGTACCTGGACCGCGCCGAGAAGCTGAAGGAGTACCTGCGGGGCAAGGACAGGCACGGCAAGAGGCCTGTCAGAGAAGCACAGAATGACAACAAGGGGTGCGTGGGGGACGGGGGGCGAGGCATCCCCTGTCTGGCCACGGAGCTGGCAGCACCCCGCTTGCCACACCAGTGCCAGTCCCGCTCCTGAACCCTATCTCCTGTCCCCAGGAGTGACAGTGACAGCGAGGGCGAGAACCCTGAGAAGAAGAAGTTGCAGGAGCAGCTGATGGGTGAGAGAGGCTGTGATGGGCTCGACCCTCTGGGGCTGAGGAGGGATTCACTGACGGCCCTGTTGAGGGGTGGCTGTGGGGAGGGGGACGGGCTGTGGGACTGGGGCCCAGGGTGCATTCCTGTGGACTGCTCACCCCAAACAGCTGCTGTGCTCAGGGGAGGCAGGACTGGGGCTGCGGCAAGGGACTCTGGCTCACTCTCTGTGCCCATCCCTGTGGGGCCGTGTCAGCAGAGTCACACCCTGACAGGTGCCATCATGATGGAGAAGCCCAACGTGCGGTGGAGCGACGTGGCCGGGCTGGAGGGAGCCAAGGAAGCCCTGAAGGAGGCTGTGATCCTGCCCATCAAATTCCCCCACCTGTTCACAGGTGAGGCCAGGGTGGTGGGAAGGGGCTGTGCAGGAGGTGAGCCCTCTGTGGGTGATCCCAGCACGGATCTGGGCGCAGGGATGGGCAGGCCTGACCCCGGTCTCTGCCGCAGGGAAGCGCACGCCCTGGCGCGGGATCCTTCTCTTTGGGCCGCCTGGCACTGGCAAGTCCTACCTGGCCAAGGCCGTGGCCACCGAGGCCAACAACTCCACCTTCTTCTCTGTGTCATCCTCTGACCTGACGTCGAAGTGGCTGGGGGAGAGTGAGAAGTAAGTTGGCAGTGGGGACATGGCCACAGCCTGGCTCCTGGTGCTCCGGCCAGCCAGGCTGGGGCAGGGCCCACCAGCATCAGGGAACCCCAATAATGGGGCTGTTAAAGAATGGGGAGCTGGTACCTTCAGAGAGGGAGTCTGAGCAAAGGAATGCCTGGGCCTTTTCCCTCACAGCCTGTGCCCCCTCGTCTTTTCAGACCTCTCAGTCCAACAGTGACTTTAAGCTGGGGTCTTCTAACACTTCTAACAACACTTAACTGGATTCTGACTCCTTGTCTTAATTAACTGCTCTCATGCTCCATCTTGGGGCAGCTTTGGGGCCCTCCAGAGTTGCAGCTCTCACCTAAAAGTTTCCCATCTGTCCATGCTCAGAATTCATTTACAGGTCACTTACAGCGAGCTTTGAGAGCCCACCCCTGCCAAGCTGTGAGCAAGTCATAATTCAACTTAACTCTACATTATTAATTTCTGATACTCTATAATTAGACTTACTTTAATCCCCAGCAGGATCCCAGGGGAAAGCACAGCCCCTTGAAGGGCTGCACAGCCCCTGGTGTGACACTTCCCTTGGTGCCAGCGTGGGATTCTCGGAATGGGAGGAATGTGGGGCTGCTGTGGTGCTGCCGAGGAGGGTCTCTGAGTGGGGACCCCTTCCCCTGCTTTGTTCCCAGGCTGGTGAAGAACTTGTTTGAGCTGGCGAGGCAGCACAAGCCCTCCATCATCTTCATCGATGAGGTGGACTCACTGTGTGGCTCCCGCAACGAGAACGAGAGCGAGGCGGCCCGGCGCATCAAGACCGAGTTCCTGGTGCAGATGCAGGGTGGGTGGGGGCCCGTGCCAGGGATGGGAGGCAGGCAGAACCCGGGCGTTCAGAGAATCCCCGGAGATTGTTCTGAGCCATCTGCCTGCAGGTGTGGGAAACAGCAGCGACGGGATCCTGGTGCTGGGTGCCACCAACATCCCCTGGGTGCTGGACTCGGCCATCAGGAGAAGGTGAGCCCCACGTGCAGCCCCCTGTGCCAGCCCCCCCAGCAGGGCTGGAATCGGGGCTCACCCCTGGTGCCCCCAGGTTCGAGAAGAGGATCTACATCCCCTTGCCCGAGGAGGCGGCGCGGGCGCAGATGTTCCGGCTGCACCTGGGGAACACCCCGCACTCCCTGACGGACGCCAACATCCAGGAGCTGGCCCGCAAGACCGACGGCTACTCGGGGGCCGACATCAGCATCATCGTGCGGGATGCCCTGATGCAGCCCGTGCGCAAGGTGCAATCCGCCACGCACTTCAAGAAGGTCAGCGGGGGCTGCCACGGCCCAGGGTGGTCCTGGGGAGGGGTGGGCACTGCGGCTGCTGTCCCCCCACCCCGAGCTCTGTGCCACGCGCCACTGGCTCTGTGCAGGTCCGTGGCCCCTCCCGCACCACCCCCGGTGCTATCGTGGATGATCTCCTGACGCCGTGCTCGCCCGGTGACCCTGGGGCCACCGAGATGACCTGGATGGAGGTGCCCAGTGACAAGCTGATGGAGCCCGTTGTCTGCATGGTAAGTGTCCCCTCTGTGGCTCTGGCCTGGCCACTTCCCTGTTGGTCCTCCAGGCCGAGGGCCAGGCAGGGCTGTGGCTCCTGGGGGTGGACACAAAGCCCCAGTCTATCCCCCTGCAGTCCTGAGTCCCTCCCAGAGGAGGCCTGGGTGACAGGAAAGGGCCTTGGGTCTGCCAGGCAGCTCCCACCCGTGGTCAGTGCTGCTGCCATGGGGCAGAGGTGCCTCACTGCCACGGGGGTCCCTATCCCATGCCCTGGTCTGAGCCACGTGCCCACCCTCCTGTGTTGCAGTCAGACATGCTGCGCTCGCTGGCCACCACCCGCCCCACCGTCAATGCCGAGGATCTCCTCAAAGTGAAGAAATTCACGGAGGACTTTGGACAGGAAGGTTGAGGGGGGCATGGGGGCGGTGGGGCTGGGGCAGCTGCAGGCCCTGCTGTGCCCCCTCCCCGGCCGTGCCAAACCGACTCGTGTTCGCTCACTCCTGCCCCACTGCACTGCGGGGACACGGCCCGGGGGTCACACTACGGGGGGTGGGTCTGAGCATGGCCTGGGCGGCCGGGTCTCTCCCTGGCTGCACTCCACTCTTCTTCCTGCTCTTTTTTTATTTTTTAACTTAATGCTGCTTTGGGTTCTGTCTTGTTTATATGAAAATAAAAACAATCTGAGTGCTTCAGCTGGTGCCCAGCCACTCCCCAAGGCTCTGCCCGCACCAGGGAGCTCAGCCCAGGCCCCCCACCCCCCAAAATGCAATGACCCAGAGCCAAGGCCTCTGCCTGTCCAAGGGGGTGGGGGTTCCTCACACTCCAGCCATCCCAGACAGGGATTTGTGCCTACACGGGGCCATACTTGGATGGAGCAGCCACCAGCTGGTGGCACCCACCTGCCCACCCCCCATGCCCCGCTGTGCAGTCCCTGGGCTCCCCTCAGCCTCGCTGCCCCCCACCCCGGTGCCCCCTGTGCTGTGCCCAGCTGCTGCCCACGCTGTGACCGTGAGCCCCAGAGGGAAGGATCCCCCCTTTGCCCCTCCCCTGCACAGCCTTGGCAGCAGGTTGTCCCTAGACCCACAAAGGAATTCCCAGTGCCCAGGGCAGTGTGGGCAGGAGCCCGGCTGCCTCCCTGTGCACACCCGTGGGCAGGAAGGGCCGGAGCCAGGCTGAGGCCACAGGTCTGTATTGGCTGCAATAAAGCTGAGTGGGAGCCCCCAGAGCCGCGCTGGTTCTTTCCCCAGGCTCAGTCCAGCAGCTCCATCCAGCCCACGTTGGTGAAGGTGCGGGGGTCCATGCGGTCGATGTAGAGGATCCCATCCAGGTGGTCCATCTCGTGCTGGATGATCCGGGCGGCCCAGCCTGACGCCTCCCAGCTCACCGGCACCCCCAGCTCGTCCACACCTGCGCCCGGGGTAGTGCAGGGTTGGGGGGGTGATTAGGGGAAAAAAGGGGAACCCATGTGGGAGTGGGAGGAGCTGTGAGAGAACAGGGTGACTGTGAGAGTGGGGGACCTGCGTGTGGTGGGATCTGTGAGAGAACAGGGAACCCATCAGAGAATGAAGGGACCCGTGTCAGAGTGCGGGGCCCGTGTGAGGGAGGGGCAGGTGCGGGGTCCCACCCGGGACAGGGCGGGTCGGTCCGTACCGGAGACATGGACGGCCCAGTGCCGCGGGACGTAGGCGGAGAAGCCGTGGATGCTGGCGCAGCCCTCGGGGCCGGTGACGAGGCGGGTGTCGAGGACGCGGATCGCGGGGTTGACGAGGACGCGGAGCGGGAAGGGCTCGATGCGGTGCGCTTGGCGCAGCGCCGGCGGGTACCGGGCACAGCGGGCGGGCGGCAGCTCCGCGGCGAAGACCCTCAGCGGCACCCCGAGCTGCGGAGCGCTCAGCCCCAGGCACGGCCGGTCCCGCAGCCCGGCCGCCAGCGCCGCCGCCAGCCGCCGAAGCTCGGGGCCGCCCAGCTGCTCCGCGGCGGCGTCCGGGCCGCTCCCGCCGGTGACACGGGCGGGCCGCGCCGCAGCCCGCCTAGCCCGTGGCCACCGGGGCACCCGGCAGCGCGGCCTCCCCGGAGGGGCTCTCCGGGGGCTCGGTGGGCACGGCCGCGTGTTCCCCCTCCGGGTCCGGGGCGGTCTCCGGGGACGGCTCCTCCTCACCCGGTGCTGGCGGGAGGAGGAAAGCCAGCGGCTCCCTGAGAGCGGCCACGTCGATGCGGCCCAGGTGGCCGAAACGCTGCAGCTGCGTGGGGGGGACACCTTGGGGATGGGGAGAGAGGGGTCAGGGGCTCGGCAACGAGACCCCACGGAGGGGCAGGACAGGGCCCGCTCAGTGCCAGGGGTGTCCGCCCCTGCAACGAAAACCAAACCTGAGAACTCACCCAGTGCCTGTGCAATCTGTGCTGGAGGGAAAAGCACCTGCAGACAGCGGTTCAGGTAGGGCAGCAGGTCCTCCAGGAAGGCTGTGCAAAACTGGGTAAAGAGCTCCTGCTCCCGCCCGCTGAAAGCTGCCTCCTCAGCACGGTGGAAGGCCAGGATGGTTTTGGTCACCTGCGGAGAGAGAGAGGCAGAGGGGTCACCTGATGACAGCCACGTGCCAGGCGGGTAAGGAGGCCAATGGCACTTGGCTTGTACCAGCAGCAGTGAGGCCACAGGCCCAGAGCAGTGCCCATCTTCCTGTGCTGGGCATTGATGATGCCACACCTGGAATCCCGGGGTCAGTTCTGGGACACTCCAAGATACACGCGGTGGGGCTGGAGTGTGTCCAGGGAAGGGAATGGAGCTGGAGAAGGAGCTGAAGCACAAGGAGCAGCTGGGGGGGCTTACCGTGGAGAAATGGAGGCATGAGAGGGAACTTCTCACCCTCCACTACTCCCCACAGGAGGGGCAGCCGGGGTGGGGCTGGGCTCTGCTCCCAAAGAACAAGGGACAGGACAAGAAGAAATAGCCTCAAGTTGCGCCACACGAAGTTTAAGTTGGATATCAGGAAAATTTCTTCAGGGAAAGAGCTGTCCAGCCCTGGCAGAGGGCAGTGGTGGAGTCCCCATCCCCGAGGAGATTTAACAGCTATGTGGATGTAGCACTTGAGGACATGGATTAGGGGGGACTTTGGCAGTGCAGGGGGAGTGGCTGGACTGGATGATCTCAGAGCCTTTCCCAACCCACTCAGAACACACCCAGCTCATGATCTCCCAGAAGAAGTCCCAGCTCCATCCCCCAGACTCACCTCACCAAGGGCACTGTCCAGGCAGTTGGTGACGTCCTGTGCCAGGGCGATGGGGCAGCAGAGCCGCAGGTCATTGAAGGCAACGAGCAGCCCGTTGAGGAAGCAGGCGAGGGGTGGGAAGTCCAGCAGCACCATGGGGGGCTGCAGCGTCCCAGGCTGGGCTGTGGGCACCGGCACTCCTGCACCGCCCCCCAGCACGGCCGGAGCCGAGATCAGCGTGTAGGAATTCATCTCCTCCCGGAATTTCTCCACCGCCTCCTCCACCGCCTTCCTGAAGGCGTCAGCGGCCACGCGCTGGAAGAGGGGGGCCAGCTGCCCGCGGAAATCCACGCCCACCCTGCTGAAGGACAGCCCGAAGTACATGCACTGCCCCAGCAGCGAGTCCAGCCGGCCGCCCGCGCCGCGCTCCAGGTCGCGCCGCAGCGTCCGCAGGAACTCGGAGACCTTCTGCAGCACCCAGCTGTGGAAGATGGCCCCCTCGCCGGGCGCCTCGGCCGGCACCAGCGGCTCCTCGTCGGAGAAGATGGCGCGGTACTGGGTGACCACGTCGAACAGGTGCACGCGGCAGGCCTCGATGGTCTTGGCCACGTGCGCGTAGGGGTCGCGGTCGGGGATGGAGGCCTGCGTGGAGCGCAGCCAGGCGTCCCGCGCCTGCAGGAACTTGACGCGCAGCTCGGCCTCGGTGAGCACGTCCATGCGGCGCAGGAAGCCGATGACGCGCAGGCAGGCGGGCAGGGGGATGTTGGTGCGCAGCTGCTGGATCAGCTGGTTCAGCATCAGCTGCGCGGACTGCCGCACCTCCTCCACGATGCCCTGCGGAGCAGAGAGCCTCCGGGCAGCCGCAGCCGCGGGGTTGGGTCGGCCCGGGGGTCTCCCGGACCGCAGGGTGGGACAACACGGGGTTCGCTCGGTCACGGGGCAAAGACGGCGCAGGGCTCACCTGGATGACGGGGATGCTGCTGTGCTTCCTCTCCAGCCTGCGCACGTAGGCCGTGAGCTCCAGCGCCTCCTCGTAGTAGCCGTTACGGACGCAGGTGTCCATGAGCTGCGGGATCTCCAGGATCTCCAGGATCTCCGTGTGCCGGTTCAGGGTCAGGCTGTTCATGCGCCGGCTGCAGGCGATGGCCTCGGCATCGCGCATGAAGGTCCTGCGGGCCGGGGCGGCGTCAGCAGGAGAGCGCTCCCGGATCCGGGGACCCTCCCACCCACCGGCCGCTCCCAGCGCTGCCTCCTGCCCAGTCCCAGCCGGCCCGACCCTCAGCGGGCTCCGCAGCCCAGCCTATCCCCAGCCCTTCCTGCCCCGTTTCCACCCGCGCCCGCTGCCCGTCCCGCACCGGCAGGCGTCCTGCAGCGCGGGCAGCCGCTCCAGCAGGCTGCCGAGGCGGCTCTCGATGCCGCCGAAGCCGCGGCCGGCGCGGCCGGTGCACTCGGCGGAGCGGATGAAGGCGCGGTAGTGCTCGAAGGCGAGGCGGCGCGTCTCGGCGCCGACCCGCGCCCGCTCCGCCGCCAAGCGCGCCGGTTCCCGGCCCAGCTCCGCCAGCCCCAGCGCCGCCAGCTCCGACACATAAGCGGCGAGCTCCGGGCCGCCGGGCGCCGCCGGGCCGCGCAGCCAGGCCAGCAGCCGCGCCTCCTCCGCCGCCGCCGCCATCGCCGCCGCGTCACCTCCGGGCCCGCCGGTTCCGGGTCCGTCACTTCCGCTACCGCCGGTTCCGGTCCGCTCACTTCCGGCCCCGGCGGCCCCGCGTGCGCGGCGCGGGAGATGCGGCCGCTCACGGAGGCGGAGACGCGGGCGGTGTTCGAGAAGCTCGGGAAATAGTGAGGGGCCGGGACCGGGAGGATCGGGCACGGGGACCGGCAGGAATGGGCACCGGGAATCGGGCGGGACCGGGCGCGGAGAAGGGATGGGCACCGGCAAGGCCGGGCTGGCTGGATCCCGGGAGACCGAGGGTGTGGTGGCACCGGAGATCGGGCGGGTACGGCGGCAGGAGGGGCGGGCCGGGCTCACGGCTCTGTCCCTGCAGCATCGGGGAGAACATCCAGCTGCTGGTGGACCGGCCCGATGGCACCTACTGCTTCCGCCTGCACCGGGACCGCGTGTACTACCTGAGGTGAGCGCCGGGCGGGCGGGCAGCGGGCGGGCCCCGGTGCGGCCCGGCCGTGCCCAGCACCGCCCTGCTCCCGCAGTGAGAAGCTGCTGAAGCTGGCGGCCAGCGTCCCCCGGGAGAGCCTGGTGGCCCCGGGCACCTGCTTCGGGAAGTTCACCAAGTCCCAGAAGTTCCGGCTCAGCGTCACGGCCCTGGATTTCCTGGCGCCCTACGCCAAGGTGGGTCTGGGCCCCGAGCGGCCCCTCAGAGCCCCGCAGCCCCTCAGAGCCCTGCGGCCCCCCCACACACCCACTGCCCCTCAGGGCCCCACTGCCCCTCACAGCTCCCCAGCCCCTCACAGCCCTGCCGTCCCTGACAGCCCCCCAGCCCCTCACACACCCACTGCCCCTCAGGGCCCCACTGCCCCTCACAGCTCCCCAGCCCCTCACAGCCCTGCCGTCCCTGACAGCCCCCCAGCCCCTCACACACCCACTGCCCCTCAGGGCCCCACTGCCCCTCACAGCTCCCCAGCCCCTCACAGCCCTGCCGTCCCTGACAGCCCCCCAGCCCCTCACACACCCACTGCCCCTCACAGCTCCCCAGCCCCTCACAGCCCTGCCGTCCCTCACAGCCGCCCCTCAGAGCCCCACTGCCCCTCACAGCCCTGCCCCACACACACCCACTGCCCCTCACAGCCCCATGGCCCCTCACAGCCCCATGGCCCCTCTCCTGCAGTACAAGGTGTGGGTGAAGCCAGGCTCGGAGCAGTCCTTCCTCTACGGGAACCACGTGCTGAAGTCGGGTCTGGGCCGCATCACGGAGAACACGGCGCAGTACCAGGGTGTCGTGGTGTATTCCATGGCCGACGTGCCGCTGGTGAGCGCCTGGCCCCCGCCAGCCCCACAGGGGGATGCCTCACCCTCCTCCATGGGCGACCCTCCCTCACCTCCCCTTCACCCCCCAGGGCTTCGGGGTGGCTGCCAAGTCCACGCAGGAGTGCCGGAAGGTCGACCCCTTGGCCATCGTGGTGTTCCACCAGGCTGATGTTGGGGAGTACGTGCGGAACGAGGACACGCTGACATAAGGGACCCTCGGGCACCCCAGGGACTTTGCTCTGTGAGTGTTCCGGGCTGGAATGGACTGTGTTGTGCACCGTGGGTGCGGGAAGCCCACGCAGAGTGGGAGGGAAACGTGGGGAGCTGCCAGCACAGAGCCCTCAGGGGGCTGATGCCAGCACAGGAGGAGGGGCCCTGGCCCCAGCCCTGTCACATAAAGCCTGATCCTTTTTTTTCAGTGCCTGTTGTCTGGTGTGGGGGTCCAGGGGGAATCAGTCCTTGCTCCTCCTGTGGGGAATGTGACACACTGGGGTGTGTCTTGGGGGACTGATGAGGTTGGGGGGAGCCTCAGAGTATGAGGACAAGCTTCAGGGGAGGGAGGGAGGGAGAGCCCAGCAGCTTTTAGTCTCACAGAGTCAGGATGGCTTGAGCAGGCACCAGTTGCTCCCCAGACTCTGCCAGGGGTTCCTTTATTGGGAGTCTGGTAGAAAAGGCCCATTAAGACACTAATGATGGGTAGGGATGTGACAAACCCACACAGAACTCAGGTGACAGTGTGGCCTTTGACTTTTCCTGGGGTGATGCCAGGGCTGAAGCTGAGGCAGGAGCAGGGAGAACTCTCCAACCTGCTTCTGGAAGCAGAATCCAGCCTTTGCTCCTACTCTGAGGTGGGACAGAGTGGCAGCCAGGTGACCTGGCTCTGCAGGGGGGTCCCTGCCCTGCCCTAGCACTTCTGGCTGCCCGAGGTTTGCGCGTGGAAGAGGCGCTTGAGGAAGCAGAGCTGCAGCACCCCGGAGAGGACAATGACACAGCTCTGGGCCATGGACCACCAGTTGATGTAGTTGTAGTTGGACTCCAGGAGGAAGAAGTCAGCCCCTTTCCTCATCCGGGCAAAGTTGTAGAAGCGCCACATGTGGAAGGTGTGGGTCTGCAGCCTGTGGATGCTCATCTGCAGGAGAGGCAGAGCCGTGCTCAGAGCTGCCCCTGGGGCTCAGTGCTGCACTCAGTGCTGCACTCAGCCCAAACAAAGGCCCTGTTCAATGTCCTGGGCAGGACTTGCCCATCCCTGCTCTGCTGGGGCACATATGGCCCCTCTGACCCTCACCCCAATTGCCTCCAGTGTGTCGTTCAGCTCCTTCCTCTCTGCTGGCTGCTTGTGCTCCATGTTGTAGTCATCATAGTACACACCAAAGTTGAGATACACCTGCATTAAGCCAAAGTGGTTTTGCTGGTTGTCCAGGCAGAGCTGGTAGAAACCTGCAGAGGGAAGAGGGTTGTTGGTCCCTGGGCCCCAGGGAGGCATATCCTGAGTGCTCAGGATTGCAGGAGCAATCAGTGCTCTGGGAAGCCCTGGCTGGGCAGGCTCAGCTGCTGCAGGGGCTGGGGCTCACCTGTCTCCTTGGTGACGAAGTTGATCTGTCCTCGTACATCCTGGGACACTCCAAGCTGGAAGCCATTGGGGTCTCTCGCTGTGACCAGGATGTTCCTGTTGTTGCCAATCCCCGTGGCCCGCTGCACCTGGAGGCAGAGAACACCCCAGGGGAATCTGTGGGTCACTGTTGTGTCGGGGATGGAGCTGTGCCAAGCCCTGAGGACGTGTTCCTGTGGGGCTGCTCTGCCAAGCACAGAGCTGGGGGAAAGCTGCCACTGCCAGGCACAGCTCTGCCCTGGCTCTCCTTCAGCCAGCTCAGTGTAAACAGGAGATGAAAGGGCTGGAGTTTCCCCTGTGGGAAGGGGACAGCTCAGGGACACGCTGTGCCAGGCCACAGCCTGTAGCCAGGCAGTGAAGGGCAGAGCTTCCAGCAATGCCAGAGCTCCACTTCATGGGCTTAAACCTGGTAGTTTAAAAAATGCATGGGATTGATGACAGATAGGGATTCGATTGGTTATATTAGGAAGATATTCTTCCCAGTGGGAGTGGGGAAGAATATCCCAGTGGAGAACTGGGCACAGGGTGCCCAGAGCAGCTGTGACTGCCCCATCCCTGCAATTGTCAACCCTTAGGCTGGACAGGGTTTGGGGCAATCTGGGAGAGTGGAAGGTGTCCCTGCCCAGGGCAGGGGATGGAAGGAAATGATCTTTCAGATCCCTCCAACCCAAACAATCCCATGATACTGCCTTAAGAAGGGCACAGTCCCCGAGATACCGTGTGCCACAGGACCAGCACAGGGTGGGTCCAGCCCAGCCTTTCCCTGGCTCTGTCAGCGACGTCCCAGGACACGTCCCCAGCACCCACCTCGTAGCTGAAGAAGAAGTTTCCTCCCTGGTGTGAGAACTGCCAGAAGCACTCCACGCTGCCAGCGGGGATGACGATGGCGAAGTCGTAGCGGTCGGCGCCGCGGAACAGCGGCTCCTGGCTGGAGCCGCTCAGGGGCTCTGTCCTGGGGCAGCCAGCGGGGCCCAGCAGAGCCAGGAGCAGCAGCAGCAGCAGCATCCTCCTGCTCCCGGGGCTGCAGCACTCGCTCCCCACGCAGGGCAGGGCAGGGCAGGGGGGCACGGGTAATCAATCATTAACCGCGGCTCAAGGTGATCTGAGCGGAGCTGCAGCTCGGACGCCTGCGCTGCCAGGGCAAGAGCCTGCCCTGGAGAAGGCAGGAGCAGGACAGGGCTCCTGCCAGCGGGGCACCACCAACGGGCACTGCCTCCCACTGGGCAGCAATGGCCCTCATCTCTGACCTGCTGCTCCTGCTGCCCAGGGCTCTCCAGGGAAGGGATTTACAGGAGGGGAGGAAAGTGCATGGCCACAGCCAGGGGACAAGGGACACTCAGTGCAGCACCTGCAGCTGAAGGACAGAGGGGGAAGCAGCTGGTCCTAGACAAGACTTCTCCCAGCCCTGGCTTTACTGGATGGCAGCCAAGAGAAACTTACAAAGTAAATTTAAATGTATCACCCCTCACCTAATCCAGAAACTCCCGTTTCCCATGTTTCCTGTGTCACAGCTTCAGGGCAGCGCTGCTCCCGACCCAGCACTCCCAGAGGGGAAGGGAAATCCCCAGGTTCCTGGGGCAGTCCGTGCCCCTCTGCTGCATTTCCACCCACGAGGCAGAAATTCACACTTTCACAACTCTTGATAGTAAACAAGAAAGGAGCTTTATTTTACAAATGACTGTTCCAGCTTTGGCACTTGAAGGCAGGAACGTGTGGCACCCTTGGAGCTCACACACAGCAAGGGTATTACCAGGAAAAGTCCAAAGAAAATGTGACCAAAATCAGATAGAACTAAAAATTTTAGCATGGAAACAACCAACAGTTCCAAGTACTGAAACACAAAGTAATTTTATCTTTTTAAAGCCTCAGAGCTGGAAGGGAGGAATTTCTCCTCACACATTTTTCCCCCATTAATGAATAGGGGAAAAAGAAAAAAAAAAACCCAAGTAGATCCTCTTGCCTGGATCTCTTCCCCACAGAAGTGCTGGGACCCAGTGCTGCCTGTTCCACAAGGGAGTGATGGCAAACAGATGAAACAAGTGATTCAGTGAACAGACAACAAACACAAAAAAATAGGTACCTATGAGATCATCCTCTGCTCACACCTGAGCAGAGCAAACAGCTGGGATTCATTCCAGAGGCTGCACTGGTCAGGTGGGCAGGGAAGTCTCAGTCTAAATTCGTGCTGAGAGGCTGCACAGCCCCTGCCATGTGCAGCACGCTGATCTTGGCAGATGCAGCTGGAGCACACGGCTCCTGGGTTCCTTTCACTCATGGTTTTGGTGTCAGAGGGCCTTGCCACACTGGCACTGCACTCTGGTCCAGCTTCCAAAAAACAAACCAAGGTCCAAAAACCAAAAAGAGAGTCGCGTGGCTCCCGGCTTCAGAGCATTCCCAGTTTCTTCATGGTCCGCCAGCGATCCTTGATCATCACTGACGTGCGGTTCCTGAAGGGGAACTTCAGGCAGATGGTTTTCCACCTCCCTTCTCCGTACTTCTTCACCCCTTCCTTGATCCACTCGCTCTCCTCCATGGTCCATTTCTACAAAGAGCAAGGAAGCAGCTGCATGGCAGGGAGCCTGCTTGCCAGTTCCTTCCCTCGCCACCCGTTCCAGGAATGGCAGACAGGTCCTGGCAGCTGCACACAACTGCGTGGCTCCCGGCTTCAGAGCATTCCCAGTTTCTTCATGGTCCGCCAGCGATCCTTGATCATCACTGACGTGCGGTTCCTGAAGGGGAACTTCAGGCAGATGGTTTTCCACCTCCCTTCTCCGTACTTCTTCACCCCTTCCTTGATCCACTCGCTCTCCTCCATGGTCCATTTCTACAAAGAGCAAGGAAGCAGCTGCATGGCAGGGAGCCTGCTGCCAGTTCCTTCCCTCGCTACCCGTTCCAGGAATGGCAGACAGTCCTGGCAGCTGCACACAACACCCCAGCACTGCAGATGTGGTGCAGCAGCTGCCCTCCTGCGGGCCAGGAGGAGAGCTCCTGGTGGCACCAACGTGGGACCTGTTCCTGGGTAACAGCTGCCAGATGTGTGTCCCCACCTGAACAACAACCTCTCCAGCACGAGGGGAATTTGGCAAACCTTACTTTAAACCATCAAAGAGACCTGAGGCACATTCCCAGTGCCCTGCAGGCAGGACAGGCACAGCTCCAGCCTCTTTTATCTTGGAGGCTGTAGGGACACTGCCCCACTGCAGGGCCTGCTGGAAGCACCTGAGGCTCCACATACCTGTTTCTTGGAGCTGGAGTTGTTGGAGACTTTGTTTTTCTCAAGTGATGCTGGAAAACAAGGTAGAGAGTTACATTTCCCATAATTTGGGAGGTACAGACCTCCCTGCCCAGGGCTTAACTGCTAAGCTGTGCAGTCAGAGCACCTTGTGACAGGCTATACACCCAGTTCCTTTATCCCAGCCTTTCCACTGGATTTCTGGTTTCAAAATTCAGTCACCCAGGCAGCAGCAAGGCCCCTGGGAGTGACTCCCATGCCAGGATTGGTCAAGGTAATCCCTGCCAGGGGATTCTCATACTTGCATTTGCGAAGAGCTCATCCTCATCACTCCAACTGTCCTTCTCCTCCGTGCCACAGGAGCTGTTCCACCTTCCTTGGAAGGACCTGAAATTAGGTGAGAGTCAATTACTTTGGCTACTGGCTCAGGAGAAGGTGTTTTGGGGAGCAGGTGCAGGGCCACCAAGCAAGCAGAGCCAGCCTCTGGACACTGCATTTCTTAAGAGGTGGGAAGCAAGAGAAGGATGCTCCTACAGACAGGCCAGTGATGCTGAAGCTGGGAGAAGTGTGGAAAAACACATGTTCCCTGTACTGGAATCACCCGCCAGGACCAGCTGCAGCACCTCACTAGCAGCAGGACCTGATAATTTTCTCCTCTTCATTAACCCATAATTAATTTTAAAGCCAAAAGGAGAGGGTTTGCTGTGCCCAGTTCCACACGGGCTGGCAGGCAAGGTCAAACACTCATCCTGGGACACAGGGCAAGGGACTGGTGCTCAGGCTACCAACATCAGCAGGACAAATCTGGGGGCAGAGCAGACAATACCACACGAGAGGGGCTCCATACTTCTCACTCTGGGCAGACAGGGGCTCATCAGGCAGTTTTGGAGCAGGTTTGGAAGCAGAAGAGACCACATGCTCCTGGGAAGAGTCGGGGCACTCGCTCGACTTGCTGGACGAGCCGTCCAACTCCACGATCAGATTGCTTATGCTGAACAAGTTTTTGATGTTATGGGGTATTGCAGTAGGCTCTGAGGTCTCAGAAGCTTGATTCTCCACTTCTCTGCATCTCTTGGTTCTGTGGGATACAGAAGGAGACAGTTGCTTGGGGGAAGGCAAGTCTGTTTCATCCAGTTTGCTGAAAAGGGCGTCCGAGTCCCCGGAGTCCGACAGGATCTTGAAAGCTTCTCTCAGAACAGAAATCCCACACGAGGTTACAGCTCCAGGGGGCTGCCTACAAAATAAACACAACCAGGAGGCTTGTAGGGAAACCACCAAGAGAGCTCTGCTGCCCCGAAATGCAGCCTCGCCCTCCACTGGCATTCCCAGCTCCTGGCCCCGCAGTGCAAATCCATGGAAGGGGGCATTCCCAGCCCTCCAGCACTCCCTCCCACATGGCACAGTGTCCCAGGCAGCAGGTGTGGGGAACACACATTCCTGCTCCACTGCCTGCTGCCATTCCCAACACTGCTCTGTTCCAGCCACTGCTCTCTCCCTGGTCACTGCAGCACCTCCTGTCAGCCACTGAACCAAACCACCTCAGCACCCTTCCCAGGATCCACCTTTGGCCTGGCCTGGGCAGGCATCTGGGGAGTTAGGAGCTGCCTGGACAGGGGATTACCCCTTGGAAGAGAACTTGAGGCCAACTGCATCCACAATCTAGAGCCAGACTCCTCTGCCCACCTTTGTGGTTCCCTGGTGGACACCCTGGGGAGGTCTGGGGCTGCTGCTGCTGGTTCTTTAGCTACTTCCATAGGCTCTAGAGTGCCCTTCAGGGTATCATATGCTGCTGTTAAATGTTCAGGCGTTGCTGCTGGGTCAGTGACTACTTCCATGGGTTCCACAGCTGCAGCAGGGCCACTGGCTTCTTCCATAATCTCTGGAGCTGCTGTGGGACCAGCTGCCCTTTTTGCAGGGCTGGGAGCTCCCTCCAGGTCTTCTGTTGCTCCTGCTGGCTCTGGAGCTCTGGCTGGGCTCTCTGCCCTTGCTGAGGCCTCTGGAGCTGCTGCCTGCTCGTGCAGCCCATCTGCAAACTCCGAGGGTTTGGCTTTGTGCTCCGAGTCCAAAGTCTTCTTCAATAGCTTGAAGACACAAAAAGCACAGCACCATCAGAGAGATGATTCCTCGCGCTCCCATCCCATTCCATCCCCTCCCAAAGGCGTTCCGTGGATGGAACAACTTGTCTGACCACCTAAACCCCTGAGGAATGGCTGAGCTGAGTGCTGCAGTGTCCCCTGCTGCAGCCCCAGGCAGCACGCACCGTCAGCAGCGCCGGCTCCGAGTCGTCCACGTAGCCCTTCAGGAACTCGAAGATGCTCTGCTGGAAGTCCTCGTAGGAGAAGTTTCTGACCTTTGGATGAGAGGGGTTCTTCTCCCGGATGACAGCCAGCCACTCATTCCTCTTCTTCTGGAGAAGAGATTCAGGATCAGAGGATCAGGTAAGAATGCTCCGGGCAGGGACAGGGGAAGCAGTGACAGCCACAGCAAGGACAGGGACAAGGACTGGGCCCTTCCTGCTTGGCATTCTCCAGGCACGACCAATTAACACCTGACGAGCCTGGGAAAAGGCCAGAGGAGCAGCACAACCACCTCATTGCAGGAATTCTCCTTGCCTGCAGTGCCCAAGGTCCCTGCAGGAGCAGGAATGGGAACACCTCCCAGAAAATGCTGGGAAGGGGAGCTGGAGGCTCACCAAGGGATAAATGGTGATGCCTGGAAGGCCGGTGTGAGGGAAGGTGTGAGGGAAGCTCAGTGACAGAGGGGACTCCAAGGTGACAATCCAGACCTGCAGCACTCGGGGACCAGCACTCCAGAGGGATTGTTTCCATTTGGGCCTCCTCACCCCGAACCTCCCAGCACACATCAGACCCCCTCTGGACACACCAGCAGCTCCCACGTCATTCCAGCACGGACTCACTTGGTTTCTGGGCTCCTTCCCCATGTGCTTCTTGACAATATCAGAAGCTTTTTCAAACTCCTTGTTTCTGATGCAAACCACAACAGCCTGCAGAGGAAAGCACAGACTGAAGCAGGGCACAGGGAGCAGCTGGGTGCCAGCTTCCCCTCAGAACTCCCCCAGCACTGCAGGTAGGAGCTTGCAAAGAGGGAACCCCACACGTGAGGCAGCTCCCACCATCACCCACGTGAGAGAAAAGCTGCACCACGGATTTACTGAGAAAGAAAAAGATCTCACAGCTTCCTTCACCATCTTCTGCACAGCCTCCATGGTCCTGTCAGCCACAGAGAACTCCTCACGGATGAAGTCCAGGACAAGTATGGCCGACTCCAGGGGGGTCAGCTCTGACTCCTTGTCGAAGGTGCAATCTGTAAGAATTGCATCTGTACATTTGGGGGGTCACAGCCCTTCCCTGCAGAGCTGGTAGTTCACCTGCACAGGTGGCAGCCATCCGCCCCACGGGTGTGCCACAACCCCACGGGGCCGAGGCACTGCCACGCGCCTCAACTGCAATTCCTGCCCCCGACAGCCTCGGGAAACCGGAGGAGCACCTGAGGCAGCCCCAGGTGCCCAGCCCTGACCCGGGGCAGCATTTTGGAAGCCCTGAGGCCGAGCACGAGTCACCAGGCTCACGGGTTTGCCTGCCCCGGCTGCTGCTCTCGGCGGCACAGGAACAGCCCCGGGGCCCTGCTCTGTGCGGGGACGCGGACACAGGACGGGGGCAGGAGGAGCGGGCTGCAGCAGCACCGGGCCCCGCAGAGCCCGCGGGAAGGGCTGGCCGCCTACCGAGGTTCTCGCCCTCCTCGACCCGCGACAGCAGCTGCATTATGCGGAGCATCTGCGCCATGTCCGGCTCCCTGTCCAGCGGCCGCACGAGCAGCGCTGCGGGACAAACGGCGGGTCAGGGGGGGGAGCGGCCCGGGCCGGGCCCCCCCAGCCCCGCCGCTCCCCGGCCCGGCCCCGCGCACCCTGCATGATGTCGCGGAACTGGCGGAAATCACGGTTGCGCCCGGAGCGGTAGGCTTCTATGGCCCGGTGGAAGTAGAACTGCAGGACCCAGCCGTTCACGGTCTTCTCAGGGAGTCACGCCATCCCGGCCCGCTGGGGCTGGGGCTCGGGGTCCCGCTCCCGCCGCGCCGGCCGCCGAGACGCCATCGCGCCAGGCCGCAGCGCGCCGGAAGTGACGACAGCAACGCGACGCCGCCGGACTCTCAGCGCGCGGCTTTATCTAGCGGGCTCCTCGCCTACAGCTCCCGACGTGCATCGCGCACATTCCGCCGCGCCTACAGCTCCCGGCGTGCATCGCGCCAAACCCGCCGGTAAGCGTTGTTCGCCCTCTGGCGGCCGGGAGGGGAATGGGCGGGACCCGGCGGGAAGGGCAGCGGGAACCGGCGCAGGCGGGGGCACGGCCGGTCCGGGGGTACGGCCGGTCCCGGGGGGCACAGCCTGTCCCTGGGGCACAGCCGGTCCGTGGGGCACAGCCGGTCCCGGGGGGCACGGCTGGTCCCGGGGGCACGGCCGGTCCGTGGGGCACAGCCGGTCCGGGGGCACGGCCGGTCCCGGAGGCACAGCCGGTCCGGGGACACGGCCGGTCCCGGGGGCACAGCCGGTCCGGGGGCACAGCCGATCCCGGGGGCACGGCCGGTCCGTGGGGCACAGCCGGTCCGGGGGCACAGCCTGTCCCTGGGGCACAGCCTGTCCGTGGGGCACGGCCGGTCCGGGGGCACAGCCGATCCCGGGGGCACGGCCGATCCCGCACGGGCAGCGCTGGGGGACAAGCGGCGGGTCGGGGGGGGGAGCGGCCCGGGCCGGGCCCCCCCAGCCCCGCCGCTCCCCGGCCCGGCCCCGCGCACCCTGCATGATGTCGCGGAACTGGCGGAAATCACGGTTGCGCCCGGAGCGGTAGGCTTCTATGGCCCGGTGGAAGTAGAACTGCAGGACCCAGCCGTTCACGGTCTTCTCAGGGAGCGCCGCCATCCCGGCCCGCTGGGGCTGGGGCTCGGGGTCCCGCTCCCGCCGCGCCGGCCGCCGAGACGCCATCGCGCCAGGCCGCAGCGCGCCGGAAGTGACGACACCAACGCGACGCCGCCGGACTCTCAGCGCGCGGCTTTATCTAGCGGGCTCCTCGCCTACAGCTCCCGACGTGCATCGCGCACATTCCGCCGCGCCTACAGCTCCCGGCGTGCATCGCGCCAAACCCGCCGGTAAGCGTTGTTCGCCCTCTGGCGGCCGGGAGGGGAATGGGCGGGACCCGGCGGGAAGGGCAGCGGGAACCGGCGCAGGCGGGGGCACGGCTGGTCCGGGGGTACGGCCGGTCCCGGGAGCACGGCCGGTTCGGGGGTACGGCCCGTCCGGGGGCACGGCTGGTCCCGGGGGGCACAGCCGGTCCCTGGGGCACAGCCGGTCCCGGGGGCACAGCCGATCCCTGGGGCACAGCCGGTCCGTGAGGCACGGCCGGTCCCTGGGGGCACAGCCGATCCCGGGGGCACAGCCGGTCCGGGGGGCACAGCCGATCCCGGGGGCACAGCCGGTCTCGGGGGTCACAGCCGGTCCCGGGCCGGTCCGTGGGGCACAGCCGGTCCCGGGGGCACAGCCGGTCCCGGGGCCACGGCCGGTCCCTGGGGCTCGGGCTCGGCCCGCTGCCCGTCCGACGGGACCCACAGCAGCGAAACGCCCACTGCAAGTGCTGAGAGCCCTGAGCGGGTGTGTCACCGGGGCAGGCCGAGGTGGGTTACACCCGCGTCACCCGAACCCGGCAGTGCCACCCTGGGTTTTGCCTTTTCCGTGGTCTGCCCGGTGCTCTGTGCTGCCAGTCCCCCTCACCCGGAACGCAAACCAGCTCCCCTGGGCAGGGTTTCGGGGCACAGATTGTCCCACAGGCGCTCCGAGCTGGGGTGATGAATTACAAGTCCTGTCTTCCCGGTGATCTCGCTGATTCCCCGGTGCCTGGAGGCGAAGGCACTGGCAAGCTGATCCTCGGGATCATGGCGTGGTTCTCTGCCACTCTGGGGTGTCCTGCTTGGACACGTGTCTCCTCGGCCCAGGGGACATTCCTAACGCTGTCCTGGAGGCTCTCTCACCTGAGATGGAAAAGCACGTGAAAATTCCTCTGGCGTGAGGTGATCTGGGATCCTCCCTTCCCTCTGCCCCAGGCCAGGCGAGGAGGAAACACACACATGGGAAAAATCCGTGTGTCAGATGGAAAACAGAAAAACTGGGAGGGATTTTTATTGGCAAACAAAGGAAGATAAAAATAATCTGTGTGAGGCAGAAGGGTCGCCCGGGGCGGGGGCACTGCCCTGGGGAGCAGGGTGGGAGCGGGACACGGCTTGGAATGCGAGAAGGATGCGGCACCCACAGCTGCTTCCTGGGCTGAGGGGAGGGGACCGTGCTCTGGCCCAAACCCTTTTCCACGTGGAATATTCGTGGACAGAGCGGTTTTGCTCTTCCTCTCTCACAAGAAGCAGGAGGAGGTGGCAGGGTGGGACCCTGGGATTTCGGCTCTGTCCCCTCCTTGCAGGGAGGGGCCGATCAGCCCCAGTCCTGCTCACAGCCCTTCAGGCACTTTGCTCTCCTGGGCAGAAAATCCCGTGGATTTCAGGGAGCTCGGTGACTTCGGCCCCTCTGTGGCTCCACGTGGATGTGCCAGCCGCTTCAGCAGGTCCCGCTGGCCCTGCACAGGTTTTAGCACTTTGAGCAATTTCATTCATTTTTGCACAAAGGTCAGGAAAGGGAGTTCTGGATCCTCTCCCAAGGGAAGCAAAGCAGGATTCCTCTCTGAGACACCAGGACAAAGCCACTCGAGAGCCACCTGCCTTGGCCAAGCCAGGTTTCACTCGGGGAACTCCCCGTGCCTCCTTTTGCTCCCTCTGGGCTGCCATCTCCCCCTCCAGTGCCCTCTGGTGAAGGTGTTGCCCCTCTGGATGTTCAGGAGATCACCTCCCGTCCTGCCAGGCTTCCCATGAGATCCACGAGGCCTCTGCAGCTCCTGGGAGGGTTTGGATGGGGTGGTGATGTGAGAGATGTCACAGGAACTGTGATCCCCCAGCAGAGCTGGAGGAGGTGACAGTTCCCATGTTTCTGGAGCTGGGGAGGGCACAGCATTGGCAGCCCAGCCCAGGCTTCCCTCCCTCACCCCTTCAGGGTCTGCCCTGGCCAAGTGTGTTAACAGCAGCCAAACAAGCCTGGAATGGTGAATTCCAGAGAAAACACAAAAATGAACCCAGCTTTGCTCCCTGAATCGTCTCCAATGAACAAAGAGGAAGCAGGGATGGTGGAAGCAGGACCAGGAATGCCGGTGGCCTCACTGTCCGGTTTCACTGAGTCCTCCTGTGGTGTCACCATCAGTTTTCCAGGAAAAGCTTTGGAGTTCCAGGTGCCAAACCAAACACCGGGCAGGAAGGCACAAACTGCAGCCGTGCTCGTGCACTGGAGCCTCCCCTCACTGATTTATGGCTTTTGATGAAGTGATTACAGATGAAAGAAAATATTCCAGGGAACAGGATCTGCATGTTGCCGTGGCCTCGTGCCTGTCACGTCCTTCTGGAGGAGTTAGAGCAGGAAACAGGGCAGGAAAACCACCGGGGTCCCTGTCAGCAGGCTCTGCTCTCGCTGTGCTGGAGCACCAGGCAGGACAAAGCTCCCAGAGCAGCCGGGGCTGCCCGGGATCCCTGGCATGCCAAGGCCAGGCTGGGCAGGGCTGGGAGCACCTGGGACAGTGAAGGTGTCCCTGCCATGGCAGGGGGGGCACTGGGGGAGCTCCAAGGCCCCTTGCAAGACCATTCTGGCCTTAGAAAAGCAGGGGAGAGCCACAGAAAACCAGGGAGCAGGGGACAAGGGAAATGTGGAGGAGGGTGGTGAGATTTCTTTGAAAACCCACAGAGAAACCCTCCAGGCATGAGGGACGGACAGAAGGAAGCACAAAGGCACCTGTTAAGAAGCCCAGCAATAGATGACAGAAACTGAAGCAATCTGAGCAAAGGTAACTCATCCCACTGGAGCTGGGCTGGATCCAGAAGGAAAGGGAAGGATCTAGAAGGAAAGACATTGGTTTGGAAAGGTGCCAAGAGCAGGGCACAACGAGGAGCTGGAAACACTGCACTGTCAGAGGATCCTGGGTTACACACAGAGCAAGGGAAACAGCCCTGATGACTGGGAAAAGGTAGACAGAAAGGATCAAAAGGAGCAGCAGCTCAATATTTAATATTTAATAAATATTTAATATTGACTAGGTGACTGTGAGAGGTTTCAGAAGAGGCTGAGCCTTTTACATCCCAGTATCTGGCTTGGTGGATGCATGGACTTGTGCAAACAGAGAACTTCCCTTGAGCTCCCTTTAGCGTGCAGAGGGATCTGTGAGCTGCCCAGCCGTGAGCCCGCTGCACTCTCCCTGCTCACACCTCCAACCTGCAGCCAGCGCTGGCCACAGCTCAGCACTGACAGCACGGGTTCTCCTCCTCAGCACTTGTTCAACAAACGTGCACCCGTGCAAGTGCAAGGAAATAAACTCCACGAGTGCCAGTTCCCAAAGGGAAACCATCGGCTTCGTGAGTTACTCGGCTCCCTGAGCTTCTGAGCCTCACCCTGCTCTGCACGGCTGGAGGGAGGAGAATTACCCACCTGGTCAGGCCGCTTCCGAGGGCTGTGGGTCACCCCTGTTTCACAGACGTGCAGGAGGAACTGCAAGGGACCGGAAAAGCTGAGGGCGGGCTGCTGAGGGGCACCGCAATCTCCGGTGGCACGGGGTAACAGGGAGCCAGTACTGGGGGAGCGGGGACCTGAGGGGAGTCTGAGGGGGGAGCGGGACCGGCGGGCCCGGGACTGAGGGAGGAGCGGGACCGGCGCTCCCGGGGCCGAGGGAGGAGCGGGACCGGCGCTCCCGGGGCCGAGGGAGGAGCGGGACCGGCGCTCCCGGGACCGAGGGAGGAGCGGGACCGGCGCTCCCGGGGCCGAGGGAGGAGCGGGACCGGCGGGACCGGGACTGAGGGAGGAGCGGGACCGGGCTGAGGACGCCGATCCCGGTGCCGCCTCAGAGGCGACGCTCGCGCGCCGTTTCCCGCCTTTCGCCCCGGCCGCTCCCCATTGGCCCACGCCCGCTGCCGCGCCCTCCCATTGGCTGCGCCGGCAGCGCCCCCCTCTGAGTTGCTCCCCATTGGTCCCCGAGCGCAGCGGAGACCGCGCGGGGCGTTGCCATCGCTACGGCGGGCGGCGCGGGTCAGGCCGCGCGTTCCGCGGAGCCGCGCCGGGCAGCATGGAGGGCGGGCGGCGCGGAGAGGCGGCGGCGGCAGCGGGCGGGGACGGGCCCGCGCCCGTGTTCACCCTGGAGGAGGTGGCGAAGCGGAACTCCAGCCGTGAGGCCTGGCTGGTGATCCACGGGCGCGTCTACGATGTCACCCGGTTCCTGGAGGAGGTGAGGCCTGCAGTGGGGCTGCCGCGCCCGGCCCCTGCGCGCTGAGGGGAGCGGGGAGAGGCTGCGGGGTCTGTGGGGCCGAGAGCGGCGGGAGGGCCTGGGGCGGCCGGGCTGCCGTGCGGACAGAGATGCCGGGGCCGGCGGCGAGAGCAGGGGGCGGGCAGGCCCGGCCGCGGCTCGGGGGGTGTCGGTGTCCCGGGGCAGCTCCCCGGGCCGGGCTGTGCGGGCTCTGCCGGGCCTCACGGCCGCGCTTCTGCCGCCGAGGGGCGGACGGGATGGCGGGCCACGGTGGGCAGCCGGGGGCACGGGCTGCGCTGGGCTCCTCTGGGGCAGGTCGGGGTTCCCGGGGGGTCTGTTCGGGCAGGTCCCGGGGAGGCGCCGGTTTCCTTCAGTCACGGGCCTCACTCCCGAAGGGTGAGCGGGGCCGGGGCGCTTGAGCAGTTTGAGTGCGAAGGCTGCAGGGACACCCAGACCTCGGAGGAGGTGACGGTGATACCGCAGCCACCCTCTGCTGCTGCCCCGAGGGGACCGCGCACCAGGGGTTTGCAAACAGTGCAGCTCCTGCCAAATCTCTGGTTCCCTTGGCTGTGGGGACAAAAAAATCCTTCAAGACTCGCTGCTTTTGTCTTCTGATTTTGAGAAGGTTGAGAGTGGTGTCCTAACTGTTGAGAGCTGGAAATGAAATGGGAATAAACAGTAACAAAATAGTAATGCCCAAGGGAATGGCATGAAGTTGTACTAGGGGAAATTTAGGGTGAGTATCAGGAAAGGT